GTGCGTGTCTGTGTGTGTGTGAGCGTGTGCGTGTCTGTGTGTGTGTGAGCGTGTGCGTGTCTGTGTGTGTCCCGACTGTATCATGGTGGTTTGTTGAGCATTGCTGTTTTTATGGCTCTGACGGTCCAGTTTAATGATCACAGCAGCGTGTGCGCTGGCAGACCCGGGTGTTCATTCCCCCGAACCTGTAGCTCAGACTCTGACCTTCACTAATTCCTCCCTGTATTATTAGCTGCTGTCATTCCCAAAACTTTCCTTCAGACGTCACTTCATGTGTGTTGCCAATTCCAGTGCAAGGCATGTTCAAAAGGAACTGTAAACCACTCTCGCTGCCACCTTCCAAAATAGACCATGGCATTGGGTGACAAATAGCATTGCCTGTTGGGTCCTTAACTGTATTTCAAGCTCGGTGTGGTACAGGCTCAAAAAGCCAACCCAGGGAGAGCGAGACAGCCTGTGTTAGAAAAGGAAGGCCAGGTTCCTGCATGCAGAATGGACATTGCAACTGTCCAGCTTCTACTTATTGTGTGTTACTCTAATGCAATAGGGTGTTCCCTCTGTCCCCACTACACCAAAACCCTGCAGGAATTTGTCAGACCTCTGTTCGCTTACCCCCTTAAGCCTTTGTTTCTCAAGAGGGAAAGTACCCAGTCTGTCCAACCTTCCCTGATATCCGGGACCCACCCATTCCTTTACAAATCTCTGCACCGTCTCCAGTGTCTCTCTCGATCCCTTTCTATTAAAGAGTGATCAGAATAACACACAACGCTGCGGTCTGATCAACCTCGATACAAATTTCCCACAATGTCCCAATCTCGCACATCACCCTCAAAAAGTAACCCACACTGTTTGGTTTGTCATTCCACAGTTTTATTAACCTTCTCCCTGTTGTGCTTTACAGTTTTCGAATACGTCAGGCTCCTTCGCTCCCCCACCCCACTTATGTTCTTATTTTACAGGCAATTTTTTTACACAAAGTACATGAGCCACATTGATACTCAATTTGCTAATTATGTGCCCATTTTGCAAGTTTCCTTCTGCGTTACAGAGTCACACAGCACAGAAACAGTCCCCTCAGTCCAAACAGCCTACACTGACCATGTTCCTGAACTAAACTAGTCTCACGTTGGCCCAAATCCCACCCAACCTTTCCTGTTCGTGTGCTGAGCCAAATGTCTTTTAAACATTGTAACTGTATCCACATCCACTACCTCCTCTATTCCACACACGAATCACCCTCTGTGTGACAAAGTAGCCCCTCAAGTCCCTTTTAAATTGCTCTCAGCTTCAACCTGTGCCCTTTAGTTTCGGAAACCCCCCTCCCCGACCTTAGGGAAAAAGACCTTGACCATTCACCCTTGTCCGTGCCCCTCATGACTTTGTAAACCTCCATCAAGTCACGCCCCAGCCTTTGCATCGATTCTCAAGGGGCTGAGGCTCTGTCACGGGGACGAGTTCCTGAGGTTCCGTAAAACAGAGAAAGGCACCCCCCCACCCCACCTCCCCCGGGAGGGGCCACGTGTTCGGTTGCCCCGCGACGCCGTCCGTGAACGGGAATGCCGGCCCTCAGGCCCCGTCCGTCATCTCTTTGTTCCCGCGGAGGCCGTTTGGTGGGCGGGGTTGATCCTGCAAACCCGCCCTCCCCCCCTTATCCCCCCAACCCCGTGTGCGTTCACCTGTAGCCGGTTACAGCTTCTGCAATGGTACCGTTGTTGTCTGCCTGTTCAGGTTTCACCTCGGTGCATGACGAGATGCTGTCGCCGACTTCGCTCCGCTACACGATGCCAAGCCCGGTCCAGGCCGACCACTTCTGGAACGACGTCACCAGCCTGGACGGCATTGCCGCTGTGGTGCCACCCGGTGCCGAGCCCCTGCTGGAGCTTTCTGACGTGCCCCCCCACCCGCCTTGGACGTCGGATCACAGGCCCCCCCTGGTCGTGGCGGAAGACTCCTCCCTGGACTGCAACCGAGCCGAGGACCCCTACCTGGCCGAGGGGCCCCCTCCCTTCACCGACGACCCCCTGGACGCCGACGCCGTCAACGGCCTGATCGAGATATTCAACCAGGAGCTGGAGGACCGGGCTCTGGCGACAGAAGAGGGCCATGCGACCTTGCCCGCACGCCCTCTCAGCGCCGAGAATGGCACTTCAGTCGCCGCGGGCCAACCAAAGGCCAGCGAGGGACAGACGGGGTCAGGAACCGCAAGGGGAGAGGCCGGAGAAGACCTGAGGTGGTTGGAGCAGGGGACTGCCAGGTAAATGCCAGCTTTCTCTGGTCATGGGGGCTGGGGGCACCAGGAGCTGATTGTTACTCCTCCCTTAATTCATAGAGATGGGGCCAGGCCCCCCCGTTCCTGATTACCCACGGTAGGGGCAGTTCAGAGGCACCGTGGGCATAATGTTGACCAGACCAACTTCCTGACGGTCAGTTCCATGGTCATCAAATTCCACGTTTTTTTTTAACTTCATAAATTCACTGTCTATCTCTGTCCCCAGAACATTACCACGGTTTCGAATGCAGCGGTAATACCACAAGGCCATCGCGCCACCGCCCCTCCCCCCCCCCGCTCCCCACCTCCCCCAACCCCATACTAGGCTCCCTCTCGTGGGAACGTCCCCAGGCAACCGTTGCCCCGTCCATAATTGCCCCTGAGCGCCTTGCAGGGGCGTTTCAGAGGGCAGCTGGCATTCAACCGCATGGCATTGGACCTGGAGGGCCGGAGCCTGGGGTAAGGGTGTCGGTTCTCTCCCTCTCGAGGGCTTGAGGGAGCCACACACGGAGATTTCTCTCGTGTTCGTGGTCGCCGAGCATATCGTCGTAATTATTTTTTATCCATTCACGGGGTGAGGGCTCTGCTGCCCTCAGCTGGCATTTATTGCCCATTGCAGAGGGCAATTGGAGAGTCGACCCCGTGGCTGTGGGTCTGGAGTCACTTGTAGGCCAGGCCAGGTAAGGATACCCCACCCCAACACTCCTTCCCTCAGGGACATGAGTGAACTAGATGGGTTTTTTTTCCCGCCAATCGACAACGGACTCACAGTCATTGTTAAACCCAGATTTTTATTGCCTCCAAATCCCACTCTCTGCCATGGCAGGATTCGAGCCTGGGTTCCCCCCAGAACATCGCCTGGGTCCCTGGATTAACCGGCGACGAGGACCACAAGGCCGTCGGCTCCCCTTAAATCTCAGATTTTCAATGCTTGCGAAGGGAACTGAGCCTCAGGCCTAGTTAGCCAGGCTCCGCTGAGCTCCCAGTGCAGGCACTTCAGCGTCTCCCCCCGCCCAAGTTGTCAGCAGGGGGTAGTTAGCACTGAAACATCACACATTGCTCGGCTGAGCTGAAGACGCAGTGTGCGGGCCAGGAAAAGCCAAGTGTCCCTCCTATTCCTGAGCCGGCCCTCTGTTCAGCTCGAGCACCCGCCGACACTCACCCCTTCCCCCCACCCCCACCCCGGTGACACAATCTCCCTGTGCAAGGCCAGAGCTTCCCCTCACTTGGGTCCTGATGGGTTTTCTTCTGCCCGCAGCTCCCAAGCCTCATCCCTAACGGTCCGGGGGCAGAGCGGGACACTCCCTGAGGGCGGTCCACCCCTGGATGAGGCCTGGAAACCGAGGAAGGAGTGGGCCGAGAAGCAGGGCTCGGCCAGGCTGAGGGTGACCCAGGAGAAGCTGATTCAGCCTGTACAGGACACAGCACGGCTCGAGTCGCTGAGTCACTCACAGCCCGAGGAGCCCCTCTGGCCCTCCGCACGAGGGTTAGCCACGTTGGCCCATGGCTCGGATCCCAGGAGCAGCTGGATCACCCTGGAGGAGGAGGAAATGGTGGGCTCCAGTGAGGAGGTGAGGGCCGAACTCTTACTCTGTCTCTGTCCTGAGGAGGGTGAGGGGAACGAGGGAACAGAGGAGTCGTCGCCAACCCCCAGAAACTCTTCAGGTCACTCGGCAGAGCCAGCCCCAACCCACACCTTGGTGTTGTCCCTGAGTGATAGAGCCATAGAGCATGAAAACAGTCCCTTCGGCCCAACACGTCCATGCTGGCCAAATAACCCATAATTAATCTAGTCCCTTTTGCCAGTATATGGCCCATATCCCTCTAAACCCTTCCTATTCATATTCCCATCCAGATGTCTATTAAATGTTGTAATTTTACCAGCCTCCACCACTTCCTCTGGCAGCTCATTCCACATACACACCACCCTCTGCGTGAAAAAGTTGTCCCTCAGGGTCCCTCTTAAATCTTTCCCCTCTCCCCTTAAACCTATGGCCCTCTAGTTTTGGACTGCCCGACCCTGGGGGAGAAAGACCTTGACTATTCACCTTATCCATGCCCCTCATGATTTTATAAACCACTAAGGTCACCCCTCAGCCTCCAACAGTCCAGGGAAAATAGCCCCAGTCTATTTAGCCTCTCCCTATAGCTCAAACCCTCCTACCCTGGCAACAGCCTTGTAAATCTTTTCTGAACCCTTTCGAGTTTCACAACATCCTTCCTGTTGCATGGAGGCCAGAACTGAATGCAGTATTCTAAAAGTGGCTGAACCAATTGACAGGGGCTAGCCTGTCCTCAAAGCTGAGCATTCACCACCCAGAGCTCCTGATCCTGGGGGCAGCTGGCAAGCAGGAGCTGCACCCCGTAGTCGAATAGCCGGTTACCAGCCCCGTGAATGGGCAAACATTCACCTGCAGACACGAGAGCCGTATTGACGGCTGGGGCCAGTGGTGTCCTGCATTCATTTCCTGACCATCAGTGTCCCCAGGAGAATTAAATGCAGGTAGGGTGGTTTTATCCCACTCTCAGGGCCCTGATAGCAGCTTCTGTGCAGCCACCCTCGATACATCGAGAGGGTACAACATGGAGGCAGCTCCGATACTGAACAGGCAGACGTTTAACGGGGTGGAGGGGGACCACGCCAGACAATGTCGAAGGGAGATATTTGCAAACGCTCCCGGTGTGTGCGAGAGTGCACGTGTGTGTGAGATTGTGTGTGTGAGCGAGTGTGTGTGTGTGTGTGTGAGTGGCGTGTGAGCAAGTGCGTGTGTGTGCATGCGTGTGTGAGTGTGTGTGAAAGAGTGTGCGCGTGAGAGAGTGTGTGTGTGTGTGTGTGTGTGTGTGTGAGTGTGTTTGTGACTGTGTGTGTGTGTGTGTGTGTGTGAGTGTGTTTGTGACTGTGTGTGTGTGTGTGTGAGTGTGTTTGTGACTGTGTGTGACTGCGTGTGCATGTGTGTGTTGAGACAGTGTGCGTGTGCGTGTCGCTGTGTCTGATTCTGCTGGCTCCTCATGACTGTGAGACACACAGCTCACAGCAGAGGCTGTCCATCTGCACCGTGCTGTCTCCCATTTATTCTGCAAACTGTTAGCTCGAGCCGCGCCACGAATAGACAGAGAGTTAAAGTTAGGGCCCATGAACCCGGCCAAATCAGGAGCTGCTTTCACTACACCACAGTGCGAAAGCTTAGTGACAGACAGAAACATGTGCTCTGCCTCTCCCTCTCTCTCTGCCTGTCTTCATCCGCTCCCTGCCTCACTGGAACACTGTTTCCATATATAACCCTAACCTGAAAGGCTGAGCCACTCTCCCCGAGAGCTGTTCCAAATGGGAAGTCACAGCATGTCCCTGTGACCTGGACTGAAGGAGAGTGAGCAGCTCTTCAGGGGAAGGTGGGAGGAACAGGCCGAAATGCTCCCAATCCTTCGACGTGGGACGCTATGGGGCAGTGGGGGAAAAGCAAGGTGTCTGTTTCTGGGGTTTCCAAAGCAGCTAACCCCCTTCCCACCTCCCCCCCACCCGACAGTGTTCCCTCAGACCCATCTCAGCCTGCCCAAGGGGTGGGCTGTGGGGTCCCCGTTCTGATGCTGGGGAGGCCAACAATATCGTTGTTATTGCAATGCTGGGCTCAGGTTGCTCCAGAGGGAGAGAGAAAAACCCTGTCCTCGTCCCTGTCCCCAACCCTGTCCCTAACCCTGTCCCTGTCCTCATCCCTGTCCCCATCCCTGTCCCTGATTCTGTCCCTGTCCCTGATTCTGTCCCTGTCCCTGACCCTGACCCTGTCCTCGTCGTCCCTGTCCCTGTCCCCGTCTCTGAACCTGACCCTGACCCTGACCTCAACCCTGACCCTGACCCTGACCCTGTCCCTGTTACTATCCCCGTCCACGTCCCTGCCCCGTCACTGTCCCTGTCACTGTCCCTGTCCTCAGCCCTGTCCCTGTCCCCGAACCTGTCCCTGTCCTCAACCCCGACCCTGTCCCTGACCCTGTCCCTGTCCCTGTCCCTGTCCCTGTCACCGTTCCTGTCACCGTTCCTGACCTCAACCCTGACCCTGATCCTGACCCTGACCCTGTCCCGAACCCTGACCCTGTCCCTGTTCCTGTCCCCGTCCTCAACCCCAACCCTGTCCCTGTCTCTGTCCCCGACACTGAGCCTGTCTCTGTCCCTGACCCTGTCCTCAACCCTGACTCTGACCCTGTCCCTGATTCTGTCCCTGTCCCTGATTCTGTCCCTGTCCCTGTCCCTGACCCTGACCTTGTCGTCCCTGTCCTTGAACCTGACCCTGACCCTGCCCCTGCCCCGTCCCTGTCCCCATCCCCCTCCCTGACCCTGTCCCTGTCCCCGTCCCTGTCCGCAACCCTGTCCCCGACCCCGTCCCCGTCCCTGTCCCTGACCTCAACCCTGACCCTGACCCTGTCCCTGTCACTATCCCCGTCCCCGTCACTGTCCCTGTCCCCAGCCCCATCCCTGTCCCCGACCCTGTCCCTGTCCCTGTCACTGTCCCTGTCACTGTCCCTGACCTCAACCCTGACTCTGTCCTGAACCCTGTCCCTGTCCCTGTCCCCGTCCCCGTCCCTGTCCCCGTCCCCGTCACTGTCCCTGTCACTGTCCCTGTCCTCAACCCCAACCCTGTCCCTGTCCCTGTCCCTGACCCTGACCCTGACCCTGACCCTGTCTCTGTCCCTGGTCCTGTCCCTGTCACTACCCCTGTCCTCAGCCCTGACCCTGACCCTGTCCCTGTCCCTGTCCTCAACCCTGACCTTGACCCTGACTCTATCCCTGTCCCTGTCCCTGTCCCTGACCCTGACCCTGTTACTATCCCTGTCCTCGTCCCTGTTCCTGTCCTCAACCCTGATCCCGTCCCTGTCCCCCTCCCCGTCCCTGTGCCCGACACTGTCCCTGTCCCTGACCCTGTCCCTGTCCCTGACCCTGTCCCTGTCCTCGACCCTGTCCCTGTCCTCAACCCTGTTCCTGTCCCTGACCCTGAATTTGACCCTGTCCCTGACCCTGAATTTGACCCTGTCCCTGACCCTGACCTCAACCCTGTCCCTGACTCTGACCTCAACCCTGTCCCTGACCCTGTCCTCAACCCTGTCCCTGTCCCTGACCCTGTTCCTGTTCCTGTCCCTGTCCTCAACCCTGACCCTGTCACTGTCACTGTCCCTGTCCTCAACCCTGTCCCTGTCCCTGACCTCAACCCTGTCTCTGACCCTGTCCCTGTCCCTTTCCCTGTCCCTGACCTCAACCCTGTCCCTGTCCCTGTCCCTGACCCTGTCCCTGTCCCTGTCCCTGGCCCTGTCCCTGTCCCTGTCCCTGGCCCTGTCCCTGTCCCTGTCCCTGTTCCTGACCCTGACCCTGACCCTGTCACTGTCCCTGTCCCTGTCCTCGTCCCTGTTCCTGTCCTCAGCCCTGATCCCGTCCCTGTCCTCAACCCTGACCCTGTCCCTGACCTCAACCCTGTCCCTGACCCTGACCCTGTCCTCAACCCTGTTCCTGTCCCTGACCCTGAACTTGACCCTGACCCTGTCCCCGTCCCCATCCCTGACCCTGACGCTGTCCCTGTCCCTGACCCTGACCTCAACCCTGACCCTGTCCCTGTCCCTGTCCCTGACCCAGTTTGTATGATCTGATCCCGAACCCCAGCCTCAGGCTGTCTCACGGTGCAGGTCAGGGTTAGATACAGAGTAGTACCCCAGTGCCTTGTCTCTGGGAGACAGCTCCACCTCCACATGCAGGCTTGGGCACAGTGTGGCGCCACTGCCATCTTCAGAGTGTGCCAGTCTGCATGGCCTTCCTGCCCGGCCACCCTCTCATCCTGCCTGTCCACTCCTTTGGCAGTCAGCGTCTCCACAGGGCCCTCCCCCGACCCTGGACAAACCTCCAGCTGTTTGCACACATTGCTTCAGCCAAGAGCAACGAAGTTAATTTCAGCCTCTGTCAGGTCGCACTGAGCAACACTTTGATGCTGATGAGGACAGACCCATTAATAGCACTCAGATATTTTGGTTTCACCAAAAAAAAATCTTTCGCTCTTTATAAATACCACTGATCGGGAAGCTGAGTGCAGAGCTTATGTCTGTCACTGGCTGTGTTTCTGATAGGATCTGCTACCCCGACCCACTTTCCATCAGGGGAGCGTGTTCTTGCTATTGTGTATCTGTCCAGGCATAACGCCCCAGCCTCACCCTCTCTGCTTCGAGCTCTCTTGAGACCACGCACGCTCTCAGCAAAACATGTTGGCAGCACCGTAGATGTGTAACTGGGAGACACTGACCAACACCAGGTGTGGGGTGATCGAATGAGGTTAATAGGTTCAACTTGCATGTTCCCAACTGTGTCTCCACTGGATCTCCCCTCACAGTGAGAAAGCTGCACTCCGTCTGTATCTCAGCTCCACTGGAGGCCTCCTTCTTGATTGTCACACCATGCAGGCAATGCCCTGACCCTCCCGACCCCTTTCCCCGTCTTTAGAAAATTGCCAAGGAAGGGGTAAGCCTGGTGACAGCGTTGTTTTTGTGAGTGCCAGTGGATGAGCCTCGGGCGATTCAATCACCACGTTCCTTCCTGGACAGAATGGGCACTGCAGGCTCGCCACTGGCAGGTGGTTACCACCAGTTGGTGAAGCTGGGATTAACCACGAATCAGGATTCTCCGTCAGTGCGTGTGTGTATCAGACTGTCGCACACATCGCCACCTCTCTAACCCCCCAAAGCCTCCAATCAGTCTTTACTCCTCCGTGCCACCCTGAGGGATATCGCAATATATTCCAGATCCACACCCTCCCCCCCGCCGCCCACTGTCCCTTGTTCCCCGGCATCATCACACGCTGCTTGTTAAAGTAGAATAATACTCCAAATAACACTGAACAGTGCCACACAAGATCTGCAAGAATGGAGTGTTTTGGGTGTGACTTTGTGTGTGTGTGTATGTGCCTTTCTTTGTGTGTGTGCGACTCTGTTTTTGTCTTTGTCTATTTGTGTGTGAGTATGCCTGTCTGTGTGCCTGTGTGTGTGTGTGTATCTGTGTGTGAGTGTGTGTGTGTGTGTGTGTGAGTGAGTCTGTGTGTGTGTAAGTGTGTGAGTAAATGGTGCTCCAGGTTGAACCCAGTTGCCTGCGTCCCCTTTTACAGTCGGCCCTGACAGCTATATCTCGCTCCCCCTCCCTGCCCAGGTCCAGCCCCTGTCTCTAACACCCCGCCACCTGCACCCGCCCCGCCGGCTGGCCTGCCATCCCCCACCCGGGGGATAACGCTGAGGGGGCCCTCCCTTGCTCAGCCCCTTTGCAGTCCTGTGAAAAGACAGGAGGTGGCGGGGGGGAGGTGCGAATGCATAAATGGAGGAGGGGGGTTGGCGAGTGGGGAAGTGGGGAGGGGTTGGAGTGACAGTTTCAAACCTTCAGGCTGGGTGTTGCGTACTGCGTGTTCCTTTCAGTGCGAGCGAGCGAGTCGGGCTGTGCTGGTCGCTTTCTGGGGAGGGAGTGAGCCTTGTGTGCCAGTTGCTGCGAGCTGTCAGCTCCTGCTCTGGCATATCCTGTGTGCTGACAGGAATGTTAGAGTTAGCAGGGCTCCCGGCCAACAAGCAAGGGGAGCTCGGGATTCGCCCTTTATGTGCAGTAGGGGTCTGCGCGTGTGCCCCTCTCACACGGCCATGCCGAGCAGGAGACAATGCTCACTCTGTTCAGCGAGTTCCTCGTCGGCCTGGTGCTGCTCGGCTTCTTCGCTGTCAGCTGCCGGAATGTCCTGCAAATCTCGGCGAACGCCCTGCAATTTGTGCTGAAATGTGTCCACCAGCAGCTGGACGAGGAGCTCGGTGAGAGGGAGAGCGGCTCTGACGACGAGGAGATAGTCACCACCAGGGTCACCCGGAGGAGGCTCATCGTCAAGGTACACCGTGGTGCCCCCCACTGTGCCAGGAGAGGGGGTGCCCCCGTCTAACCAGTGTGTGTGTGTGTGTGTGTGTGTGTGTGTG